TCTCTTATTGTCATAGTCACTTAATGGCCACTATAAAGGGTTAAAAGAAGACACTGTCATTTTCCATTGTCCATTTCTCCCCATGGCGCCAATGTGTAACAAAAATCCTCTTATTTCTAATGAAAGAAACAATTTGTTGTTGTGTGCTTTGTTTCTTTCGGAAAAAATTAATTGATTCTGATTACATGGCAGAGATTGTCGAGTAGCGGAAAGTTCTTAAAAATCCATCCAACCATGCCATAAAGCTCTCGAAATTCTGTTTTATGGAACTGCGTGTAGCAGGGTGTACTTATCAATCATAAAAGCCTTTGACAGGAATACTTCAGCGAGCGTAACAATTTTTAAGTGTTATTTTAAATTGTTTTCAGGATTTTTAATGTTTATTAATAATTCATGACGAAATATAAAACAACAAAACGGAATGAACGAACGAACGAGAGAGCGGAACATAAAACTGACTTTATTAATTGGCAATTTGATGTGGGGATAATGAAGAGTGAGGGGGAAGTGCCTGAGTGAGATTGATGAAGTGTTTGTTTTTCGGGCATGTTTTATGGTTTTCATTATTACTTACATATAAAAAATTAACACGAAGTCGGATAACTAGGGAAGGAGGTGGGTGGATGAGGAAAGAAACGAAATAATTAACCATTTTTGCTTATATAAACGGAGAGATTAACAAGGAAGAGTAGTAGTATATGAAATAGAGAAGGGCCTTGCCAGGATCAAAATTAATGTTTCGAAAAATAAAAATGGAATATTAGAAAATAATTAGTATTTGTTGAATATAAAAAATTTTTGAGATGGTACTTCTGAGGATCTCATATCGTATTATTTTGTTTGGTGAAAGTATATATGAGAGAATATGAGACTTTTCTTACTTACCTTGAATTACACAAGTCACTTGATGTTTTCTGATAAGCCATAAGACCTAAAAAAAAAATAAAATAACATATTACTACATATAAAAAATATTTATTTTAATTTAAAAAATATTCAAGCCAAACTATTAAAAAAAAAAGAAAATAAAAAGTCCAATGGTCATTTATATCAATTACAATAAATGAAATAAATTGTTAAAAATGTTATCAAAAAATATCAATTATTTTTTAATGAATAAATATTGTTATTCCCAAAATTGTAATAAACTTCCCACCAAATGTTATATTAATATGTCAGTAGGATCAATACTAATATTATAAAACTGATTTTGACAACTTCACTAATTAGTTTTCCTTGTACTTTTTTTCGACGAATACAATTTTGTTTTCATATGAGAAAAGAATCCGAAATATGTTGTAATTTGTTCCATATTATATGAAAATGTTCCATTTTGTGCAAAAAAAAAAAAAAAAAAAACTTTATCCTTACCCAAACCCCGTATTTATGTTAATGACATTCTTCGAATTCGTATAGACAATAATTGAAATGGCAACCATGGTAGCAGGAATAAGTTGCAAATAGCCAAGAGGATAAAAAGCAAGAAAGAATGAAACCCAACATTTCATGACCAGGCAACATAATCATATTGAAAAAGTTTATCATCGCATAATGAGGTATCAAATCCAATAAGGAAGGATATATTTTGGAAAGAGATGACAAAAAAAAACCCATAAGGCATATTTGGCCATATTTGGCCATTGAACAAAATTAAAAAAAAAACATTTAATAGAGAATATGCAAAGTGTATGTTATTGAGAGGATTATAAAATGAAATCATTTGATTTTAAGGAGTATATTATATCGAAGAGGGACACAGTTATTATCCCTCAAATATTTAATATTATGTATTTTATTGAAAGTTTCAAAATTCACGCCTAGAGGTCTGATAGTCCTCCAGAAAAATTAGCCTGTTCTTGATGTTATGTTTTTAAAAAATCTGAAATAGTCCTTCAGAAAAATGTTCATAAAATCCAATTCAAGAGCCCTAATAGTCCATGAAAAAAATATTCTTTAAAAATCCATGCCCAGAGCCCTAATAGTCCTTAACAAAAAATATTCGTAAAATACAATTCTAGAGCTCTGATGGTCTACGAAAAAAATATTCATAAAAATCTTCAAATTTATCTTGGATAGTCTTTGGAAAAATATTATTTAAAAATTCACACATATAGGTCTTTGAAAAAACCCAAGCATAGACCTCCGATAGTCTATGAAAATACCTAAAAATCTACGCCTAGAGCTTTGAAAGTCCTTTGGATGAATATTCTTAAAAATCCTTGCCAAGAGCTCTGAAAGCCTTTCAGGAAAATATTCTTAAAAAATCTAGTGCTCTAATAGTTTTTGAGAAAAATATTCTAAAAAATCCATGCCCAGACCACTGAAAGCCCTTGAGAAAATTATCTTAAAATTTTCAGGCCTAGAGCTCTAATAGCCCTTCACAAAAATATTCGTAATATGGTCTGATGGAAAAAAATTTTATTTAAAAATTCCCGCATATAGATTTTTGAGAAAAAACCCAAGGCATACACTTCCAATAGTCTATTAAAAAATCTACGCCGAGAGCTTCGGAAGTCACTTAGAAGAATATTCTTAAAAGTCCATGCCAAGAGCATTGAAATGCATTGAGAAAACTATTCTTAAAAAAATCTACGTCTAGAGCTCTTAAAGTCCTTCGAAAATATTTTTGAAAAATCCACCTATAGCGTAGATAATGCTTCCAATAATAATCTTATCCACGCATAGAGTTCTGATAATATTCAAAAAATATATTCTGATAACCTTCATAAAATTACTATAAAAATCCCACGCATAGAACTCTGAGAGTTCTTCATAAAAGAATTTGAAACAAAACCCACGCATAAAGCTTTGATAATGCTTCTAAAAATATAAAAAAACCCTGGGAGATCTGATAGTCATTTCGAAAATATTTGCAAAAATCCACGCCTATAGCTCTGATAGTTGTTTCGAAAAATATTCCTTAAAAATCCACGCCTATAGCTCTGATAGTTGTTTCGAAAAATATTCCTTAAAAATCCACGCCTATAGCCCTGATAGTTGTTTCGAAAAATATTCCTTAAAAATCCACGCCTATAGCTCTGATAGTTGTTTCGAAAAATATTCCCTAAAAATCCACGCCTATAGCTCTGATAGTTGTTTCGAAAAATATTCCCTAAAAATCCACGCCTATAGCTCTGATAGTTGTTTCGAAAAATATTCCTTAAAAATCCACGCCTATAGCTCTGATAGTTGTTTCGAAAAATATTCCTTAAAAATCCACGCCTATAGCTCTGATAGTTGTTTCGAAAAATATTCCTTAAAAATCCACGCCTATAGCTCCGAGAAACTTTTCGAAAAATATTCCTTAAAAATCCACGCCTATAGCTCCGAGAAACTTTTCGAAAAATATTCCTTAAAAATCCACGCCTATAGCTCTGATAGTCCTTTCGAAATATATTTTTAAAAATCCACGCTTGGAACTCTGATAGTCCTTGCGAATAATATTATCGTTAGGTCTGATAGCCATTTCGAAAAAAATTCATTAAAAATACACGCCTATAGAGCTATAGCGAATCAGTATAGCCCTCTGCCGAAAAAATAATGGATTTCTTTTTCCCCAAACTAATAGTTTTAAAAATCCTTAAGCTCTGACAAAGCTTATACAGATATGATTTTTAAAAAATTATTTTAAAAATTCCCGATTTAAGTTCTGATAGTTTTTTCTTTTTTAAATCGACACAGTTTTCGGAATTTGATACAAAAATTTAGAAATTCGGCAAAAAATTGTTTTCTTTCCATTCTTCCCACCAGGATCATATTACTCGACCTCACCGAATTTAATATTCTCGCCACTCTCTCTCTCCCTCTGTATAAAACAAAAATGCATTCAAGAGAGAAAAATTCTATTAGCGACTTTATTATTATTTTGAAAGGCTGCCATACAATCCAAAAGAAAAAATCCCGCCCGCAACAGGCAATGTAAGTGTGGCAAGTAACGAAAAAAACAAAACTTGAACTGGAAGACGACAACAAAAGTAACTGTAAAGAAGCTAAAAGGGAAACTTAATAAATGCAATTTCCACAACGTTTTCCATTTTCATTCCTTTTTTTTTTGAAATCACAACACGTAACACCCAAACTACTATACGGTGGTTATGGCTAGCTGGTAGTTGGTACTGTTGGATTATGCCAAAAGGAGAATAGGAGTAAGGAGAATAGGGGAGCAAGAAGAAATGCAAATAAAACCGAACAAAAGACTTGAATCCTTAAAAGCAAAATTCACTTGTTTCCAGATCCCTCTCGCAGTGCGTAGGGGAGGCCATCACCAACATTAACTGGGAACCAGCTACGCAAGTTCATTTGTGTTATGAATACGGGGGAGTTGTTCTGTAATGGTAACCGAGGAAAAATTCCAAGCTTTTCTTGTTTTCCCTCGAATTTGAAAGAAAGAAAAAAAAAACATTTGCGTTTTTTGTCAACTTCCGTTTTGAATTTGAATGCGAAGCAGAAAAAAATGAACGAATTCCATATTCCTGCGTCAATGGCAATGCGTTGAGCTGAATAAAAAAACGGAAATTGAAACGTATTTCCCATTTTTTTCAATATAAGTTGTGGTTATATTTTTTCAGTGGGGGTAAGCCATGATTTTACATTTTCTTAATTAGTTTCTATTTCAAACACAGCAAAAAAAATAATAATAATTTCTTTCTTTCTTTTTTTCTATTACAGGTGGGCCAATTATCATGGCTAGCAATGCGCTATTGCGATTACGATCACAACAACAACAACTGGTATCATCATCACAATCCGGATACAACAGTAATGAATCGTCGTCCAGCAGCCCTAATGAATTAAAATCCTATTCAAAATTATATCCCTCCAAGAAGCGGCAACAGCAGCAGCATCATTCGTCAACAACTTCCTTGCCTAGCAGCAACAACATCCAACAACGTCCCACCACCTCCACCATTAAATTGCGACCTCAACACAATTGCAACAAAAACAACAACATCGTGGCTAAAAGTCATTTGAAAACCATTTCAAGGCAAAAACATCGGGAGCATCGTTTAATTAAGCCCACCCTCAACAAAAACAACAACATTACCACGACCAGCAGCACCACCATCACGTCGCCTAAGACCTGGAAGTGGCGATCTCCACCACTTCGTTTAGGCGGTTTTGATTCGATAGCGATTTGGTTGCAAGTCTTATTGTTCATTGTTTATGGCCTTAACAATGTGGCTAACGGCGAAGGAAATGTTGGTAAGTTTTATGACAGATTTTTTTACAGCAAAAATATAAAAAAAAAAATCCGGGAAAAGTTTTTAAAGTTGCAAAGGAGGATGTGAATTGAGAAAAATATCTGATGGATCACAGAGCTTTTCTTTATAGAACCAAGAGCCCTTCTAGACTCCAAGGGACTTCTCAGTAACTGATGATTTGTTCTCTAGAAAAAAGGACTTCTCAATCACTGAGGATTTTTTTACTCTACAGAAATAAAGGACACCACCTTTTTATAAAAAGAGGTATTCTCAGTCATTGAGGATTTTTTTTCTATAGAAAAAAGGACTTCTCAGTAGCTGAAGAATTTTTTTCTATAGAAAGGACAATAACTGAGGAATTTTTTTCTAATGAAAAAAGGACTGCTTAGTAACTGAGGAATTTTTTTTATAGAAAACATAACTCCTCAGTATCTGAGGATTTTTTTCTATAGAAAAAGTACTCCTCAGTAAATGAGGAATTTCTTTCTATAGAAAAAAGGACTCATCAGTAACTGAGAAATGTTTTTCTATAGAAAAAAGGACTCATCAGTAACTGAGGATTTTTTGTCTATAGAAAAAAGGACTCCTATGTAGCTCAGGAATATTTTCTAGAGAAAAAAGGATTCCTCAGTAACTGAGGATTTTTTATATAGAAAAATGTAGTCCCCAGTAAATGAGAATTTGTTCCTATACATAAAAAAAACTCCTCCGAAACTAAGGAATTTTCCCTATAGAAAAAAGTAGTACTCAGTAACTGAATATTTTTTTCTAAAGAAAAAAACAACTTCTTTGTCACTGAGGAATATTTTCCACGGAAGAACGGACTCCTCATTAACTGAGGATTTTTTCTATAGAAAACAGACACCCTATTAACTGATGAATTTTTTCTATAGAACAGAGGACTCCTCAGTCACTGGAGATTTTTTTATAGAAAAAGGAGTCCTCAGTAACTAAGCAATTTTTTCCAGTAGAAAAAAGGACTTCCCAGTCACTGAGGAACTACTTTTTACAAAAAAGGACTCATCAATCACCAAGGATTTTTTCTATAGAAAAAAGGACTCCTTTTCCACTGAGGATGTTTTTCTTTAGAAAAAAGGACTACTCTGCCACTGGTAAATTTTTGTATAAAAAAAATTAGTCCTCAGTAAATGAGAATTTTTTTCTATAGAAAAAAGTAGTCGTAGACGAATTTTTTTTTCTATAGGAGAAAGTAGTTCCCAGTAACTGAGGACTTTTTTCTATAGGAAAAAAATTGGGCCTCAGTAATTAAGGATTTTTTCTATAGGCAAAATTAGGCCTCAGTAACAGAGAAATTTTTTCTATAAAAAAAGTAGTCCTCTGTAAAAGAGGAATATTTAGAAGGACTAATTCTTCTATAGAAAAATATTCCTCTTCTATTCTGTAAATGAGACTTTTTTTTTCGATAGAAAAAAGGACTCCAGAGTATATAAGGAATTGTTTTCTATGAGGATTTTATTCTATAGTAAAAAGGACTCCTTAGTCACTGAGAATTTCTTTGTTGAAAAAACTGCGGACTGCTAAGTCACTGAGAATTTTTTTATAGGACTCATCAGTAACTGCATTTTTTTCTATAGAAAAAGTAGTCGTCAGTAACTGAGGAATTAAAAAAAAATAGTTCTCGGTTCCTCAGAAACTGAGGAATTTTCTTCTATAGAAAGAAGACATCTCCTCAGAAACTTAATTATTCAGTTTTTTTTTTTAAAGAGTTCTTCAATTTCTGATCTTATCCCAGAGCAGCTCTTCATTGAAATTTTTTAAGAATGTCCCCCAAAAACTTTCCCAAATTTGAAAAATCTGTATCGCCAATTAATTCTAGATTGAAAACTTTATTTATCAACAACAAGAAAATTCATTTATGGTGAAGGACTTAAAATCCGCAAACCAACAACACATGCACAATGTTTCTTTTGGCATTGACTTTGTCGAATTGCATTGCTTTGCACCAATGATGGTGATGATGAAGTTGTAGTGAGGTCATATACGCCGAGGACGAAGAAGTCCATGGTCATTGGATTGTGTGAAATACTTAAAAAAGCAGATTAAAATTTTGTAAATCAATTTTAATAAACTAATTGAATTGGCATTCATACATATATATGAAAGTTTTTATTGTGTTTGTTTGCACAAAGTATATAGAAAGAGAAGTACAAGGTGCGGGGAAGCGAATTGGAAAACAATTAAACTAGAAGCATCATAATAAACTTATTGAACATTTTAAAACAAACAAATATATTTAATAATATTTATATAAAGAATTTTAGAAATTTGCTGCAATTCTTTCATAATTCAATTGACCACAATTTGCAATTACATACAAGATTTTCAATTTGTCAAACCACAAATATTTTGATGCAGGGGAATCTTCATTTCATTGGCAAAGAAAAAATAAACTGTAAAGTTTTTTTTTTTTTTTTTTTTGTAGAACAGAGTTAAGAAAAAAATATACAAAGGGCATATTCTGAAGAAAACTTGAACTTTTCAAAAAAAGGACTCCTCAGTCACTAAGAAATAACTTGAAACAAACTCATCAGCTAGTGGTTATGTTATGACTCTTTCCTATAGAAAAGGAGGGTTTTTTCAAGAGAAGAAAGCTATTCAAGCTACTAAGATTTTGTTTTGCCAACAAAATTGCGCACACACTCACACTGAGGAATTTGCTTGAAAAGGGAAGTTATTTCAAATAAAAATTTTCCACAAGGATTTTTTTCTTTAGAAAAGAGTAGTACTTAGTTACTGAGGATTTTTGTTCTATAGAATAAAGTTATGCCCAGTTATTGAGGAGATAGAAAATAGTAGTCCTCAATTATTGAAGGTTTTTTTCCTATAAAAAAATTAGTCGTCAGTTACTGATGATTTTAGTTATTGAGGAACAATTTTTTATAGAAAAAATGTAGTCAGTTAATGAGAATTGTTTTCTACAGAAAAAAGGTAGTTCTCAGTAATTGAGGTTTTTTTACTACAGAAAAAAGTATTTCCCGGTTATTGAGGATTTTTTTACTACAGAAAAAGGTAGTTTTCGGTTATTCAGATTTTTTTTCTATAGAAAAAAGGAGTCGCGAATAACTTAAGAATATTTTTCTATAGAAAAAGATAGTCCTTAGACACTGAAGAATTTTTTCGGACGAATCTATTGAGATTTTTTTTATAGAAAAAAATGTAGTCCTCAGATACTAGGAAAATTCTACTGAAGAACTTTTTCTATAGAAAAATTCCTCAGTAACTGTAGAAAAAAATTCCTCAGTTACTGAGGACTACCTTTTTCTATAGAAAAAATTCCTCAGTTACTAAGGACTACTTTTTTCTATAGAAAAATATTCCTCTGTTACAGAGGACTACTATTTTCTATAGAAAAAAAATCCTCAGTTACTGAGGACTACTTTTTTCTATATAAAAAAATTCCTCAGTTACTGAGGACAACTTTAATCTATAGAAAAAAAAACTAAGTTACTGAGGACTACTTTTTTTCCTATAGAAAAAAATACCTCAGTTACTGAGGACTACTTTTTTTATTGTCTGAGTCTAGAAAAAAATTCCTATTTACTGTGGATTTTTTCTATAGAAAAAATTAGTCCTCAGTTAATGAGTATTTTTTACAACAGAAAAATATATTCCTCTGTTACTGAGGATTTTTTTTCTATAGAAAAACTTTGTTCCCAGTTACTGAGGATTTTTTCTGTAGAAAAAAGTAGTCCGCATTTACTGTGGATTACTGAGGATTTTTTTTCTATAGAGAAAATAGTCCTCAGTTACTGGGGTTTTTTTCTTTGGAAGAAAATAATAGTATTTACTCGATTACTGAGGAATTTTTCTATAGAAAAAAATGTAGTTCTCGATTACTGAGGAATTTTTGTTTTCTATAGAGAAAGTGGTTTTTAGTTACTGAGGATATGTTCTATAAAAAATTTGTCTTCAGTTACTGAAGAATAGTTTATCGTTCCGATACTGTAACAGCCAATTACGTACAATTCTGGTTTTTCCGTTCAGGAATTTTTAATGTTAAAGATGCACTTTGCACAGGTAGGCAGTTCTTCGAAAATGTCGATAAAATCGGAAAAATGATCAAAATTGACCGGCATGTAAGCATGTTAGTAACATCGCCCAGAAGGTAAAAATCTACCATAAAACTGTTTTAAACCATTGTTCAATTGACCAGAAACGGCCAGAATTGGCCAACAGGAGTGGTGTCGCGTTCTATCAGGACAACGCTAGGACACACACACACTCGCCAGAAACTTCGGATGCCTGGTTGGGCAGTTTTAATGGATCAGCCATAAAGTCCGGACTTGGCACTAAGCGATTCTCATCTTTTTCTTGCATTGCAAAATTTGATAAAAAATTGGTATCTAGGGAGGATTGTGAAAATCGACTACTAGAGTTTTTTTTTTTCTTGAAATTAGATAGCAGGACTTCTATGAGAGAGGCATTATGAAGTTACCTTTAAAATGTCAAAAAATCATTCACATTTCGATTCAGGTGCATAATTTGGCCCAAATCGGACATGTTAAATAGTTCATAAAAAAATATTGGATTTATTTTTTCCCCAACATAATATTAAATTCATTTCATAAATATTTTCAGACCAAAATTTATTATAAAAGTTCTAAGAGTGCCTACAAACCATTTCTAAGCAATCAATTTCAATTACTTTAGAAATATTGATAGGATTATAAATTTATAAAATGCAATTAAATTAATTTGAATTCAATTCTTACAGTTTTATTTGAATTCATAGAACAAAAACTGAATTGAAGGAAATGTGGGAGGAAATCGAATCAATTAGTTCAGTAGAAAGACGTCGAGACTGCCTTAGTTGCAATGTCAATTATCTCAATATATTGAAATGTTAGAAAATCTGAGCAGGTTTTTTTTTTATATTTTTAAAAACTTTTGTGTGGGAGGTTATATTGTCTTCTACAAGTCCATCTTTTGTTGATAGAATACCTTTGTGTAATTTTTATCTGTAGAGCTGCTTAGAAATGC